AAGTAAGAAAGAAGAGTTAACCATGCATACATGTGCATTTCATGGAGTTTTGAGGTTGTTTCAGAAGAATTCTCTCATGCATCTGGTAATTCTAGCTTGGTTTTACGAATTCATCACATTTCTTACTTTGATCTCCATTGATCATGTTTAGGAAGGTTTGAGTTCATAACAATTCATGCATGTTATGTTTTGAAAGTTTCAAGTTGGATTTTGAACAATTGGCATACTTTTAGGCCTTGATTTTGCGAAATGATCTTCAATTCTTGATGTTTTACAAGTTTAAACATGTTTTCTCAAGTTTTTGGGCCAAATGAGGTGCTTGAAGCTTTACAATTAAGTTTTGCATCTTGAACATTAATTTGGAAATTTCAGAAGTCTGCATCATCACTTAAGCGATAGAATCTATGCTTGAGCGACCACTCTTTGTTTTGCACTTTTGCTCGAGTGACTTAAAGTTGCCTCGAGTGTAAAATTCAAGCTCTTAATACTTTTGCAGACATGGGTCTTGGTTCGAGCGACAACACCTGTGCTCGAGTGACCACCTTTATTTTTGATCCTCTGCTCGAGCGTAAAATGAGAGTTCTCACAAGTGTTGCAGAGCTTTGTAGACTGCTCGAGCCACCAAAGTTGCGCTCAAGCGAAAACCCTATTTTCAGCAAATTTAATGAAGTGTTTCAACTTACATTTTGGCATCATCACTACATCTTAAGCATTCCTAAGCCTTAATTAAGACATAATAATGGAGATAAAGATTAGAATCACACCTAGATAGAAAAGAAATAAGTTAAGTGTTTTCCGAGCGTGTGTTTCAATATGTATCCATTATGTGTTTGTGTAGGTCACGTGCCATAGATTGTTTAATCTGACTGTTCTGACTCTTCTACTATTAGAGCTATCTGTGAGTAATGACTCTGTAAAACTATATTTCATGATACGTACTTTTAGAATGATAAGATATGATTTAGTATATGAAATGCTATTTTATGAATAATGAATGAATATCCAAATTTCTAAAATGTATTTGTGACATTCTTAGTTGACATGGCCCTCGCCCGAGAGAAATAATACCGTGGCTTATGTTTATATGGCCCTTGCCCGGGGAAAACAATACCTTGGCTTATGATCATATGGCCCTTGCCCGAGGAAAACAATACTGTGGCTTATGATCATATGGCCCTTGCTTGGGGGAAACAATATCGTGGCTTATGTTCACATGGCTTTCGCCTGAGGAATACAATACTATGGCTACTTGTGTACAAGATATGAACCATTGGGGTCGTCGGTACCGACTATGCGTATGGGTCTTAGGACCAAGTTGATATGATAGCTAATGGATATACCATACATAACTGCTTATGACTTCTGATCAAGTATATAAATTTGAATATGTTTTTGATAAGAGCTCTAATTTTTTAAACTGTTTGGACATCATTCATAAACCCTTTACTATTGTTATTCATTGGGCTCTAGCTCGTCGTATTATTTATGTTTGTAAGTGATTAGGCGCGTGACCAGGCTTAAGCTGTTGCTTGGGGATTTGTTTTGGTTAGCCAACCACAGTGCCTCTCTTGGAGGTTCTTGAACTAAGAAATGCTCAAGTTTTGCGTGCAAGTTTAAGACTTTTGATTAAACATGACTTTTAGCTTATCTGTACATGTGGTGATGTAAAACTGAAATTTTGATGACATCATATATGTAAATTAAATTTTAAATTTTTTGTCCCATGTATGTCTACACAGTTCTATGGACGTTGTATGTTTGAAATTGCTTCCGCTAGCCCCTGTATTTTGTTTAATTTGTTCAGAGGCCTTTGTTAATCGCTGGATTACTGTCCGGTTATGACGCTAAACCTGTAGAGGCGGGGTTGGGTCATGTCAATGTGAATATTAATATGTGATTCACCTTATTATTATTAGGGGTATTTTGGTAATTATCTCACCTATAGGACTTATTGGAACAAAAAAAAATAATTTTGATTAAGTGAAATATAAGTAGGTGAAAAAGAATTTATGAATAAATGTCTTTTTAAATTATTATTATTATTATTCATTTTTATCAAATTAATTTTTATTTAAAAAAAATCTCATAAAAAAACTAAACTTAGGTCATATTTGTTTGGCTCCATAGGTGGGGGGATTAGATTAACAACCTTGTGGGCCTTATATTGCTCATGTTTGGTTGATAAAAATAAAAAAGAAACTGGTAATTCGATGAGATTGTGAAAAGACAATTTTGCCTTTATATTAAAAAAACAACAAAGCTAATTTTTTATACAATGACGGTGTTTGGGTAATTTTATACATTGATAAATTACATTGACCTCCCTTGAGGTTTACCTTAATTACAGGGACCTTCCCTGCAGTTTCAAAAATTACACAGACCTCCCTTACTTTTGAAACTAATATATAGATACCCCATTTCTGTTACCCACCCGTCCAAATTCAAACAGATTTGGCTGATTTCATCCAAAATTATTGTTCAACTTCCAATACTACTCTTACCTCCACAATACATATATATATGCCCATATATATATATATATAAACATACACATCTTATATATATATATATATATTAATCACTGTACTCACTCTCTCTCTGTGCCCTGCCTCTCTCCCTCCGTCGTTCTCCGCTGCCCCGACGCCTCCCTTTCCAAAGCCTCCGCCCAGTGCTGTCACCACCATACCGAACTCTTCTCTCAGCTCATCCATCTCTGCCACCACCATTGCCACCAAAAACCCTAGATCTGAGGAGCTTGGTGTCGTAGTGGTCGCGATCTGATCGCGAGGGTTGCAGTGATGGCAGATCGTGACAACGATCATGGCGATTGCAACGGTTACAGAAAGAGTAAGAGAGAAATAGAGAGATCGTAGTGGTGGTTGAGTGCAATGGTGGCAATGCGATGAGGAGAAGAAGTGAGGCTCAAGGAGGCGAGACGGCGGTGGAGTTCTCAACTAGATTATGAATAGATCTTATGTCAACTTGAACTTCAATCTCGATTTGTTATAGTCGTGAACCTTTGCACCTGATTTGACTTGGGTTGGACATGTTCTTGCTAAGCACAGAACAATTGTGATTGAGTAAACACGGAGAGAAAGAGAGAGAGAGCCATGGATTTGATCATCGGCGGATGCGACAAAATAACAATGGGATGCATTCTCTCAATCAAAACCACACTCGAAGATGAGCTCGAATTATCTATGTATGCACTGCAATTTAGGAAAATAATGTGTGTTTGATCAGGTTATCTGTTTGATTGAGAGTGTGTGTGTTGAATTATTTGTGTTTGATTGATTTTCGAAATAACAGTGTGTGTCTTGAGCCCTTGATTCCTTGCATAAACCCTTGAATTGTCAAAATAATTGCGTGTTTGATCAATTGTCGAAATAAGAGTGTGTGTTTGATCGGGTTATTGTTGGTTTGGGTTTTGGGTTTTTAATTAAAGAGGTTTGGGAAAAGAGTGTGAATAAGACAATGGCAAAAATGAGTAGTAAAAGGAGAAAGATGTTGATGATATAGAGTGGGTTAGGTCTTTGGGGAAGACAATGGGTTGAAGGGTGTTATGGTCAATTTCTTTGTCAAGTTAACGTCGTTAATGCTTTTTTGACGGGAATGGGGTATCTGTATATTAGTTTCAAAAGTAAGGGAGGTTTGTGTAATTTTTGAAACTGCAGGAGAGGTCCCTATAATTAAGGTAAACCTCAGGGGAGGTCAGTGTAATTTACCCTTTATACATTAACTGATACCACCACACCAGTATACAAACAAACATACTTTATCAAACATTTTCAAACTAATACCACAACATTAATAATCTTCTCACTCAATCCTACCATACTCATAATCCTAGGTTTCAAAGGAAGACTTTGGTAAGACTTTAGGGCATAAGCCTTGAGGTCCTAGGTTCCACTCTCCCTAGGGTCAGCCACCCTAACGATAACATATATGGTTGATAGGATGAACCTTCTAGACCTGGGCGAATCGTACCCAGTGTCAAGAGTATGAGTTCAAATCCCCGCCTGTGTGCGAATCCGTGACTTATCGCTATGGTTCAGTGGCCCTATTGTATAGTAATGTTGACCTCTTGGATCTTGACTCCTTATAAGATCTAATTCCAAAGGTTATCCCTCTGTGATTAGAACTTTTAATCTTATTCAATCTATTTTTCCAAACAAACGAGACCTTAGAGGTGATAGACCAGTCTTCAAAAGTGGGCACCACAAATACTTTGCCACATGGCAGATTCTGATTGATGGACTACCCAATTTTTCTTCTACTCTCGCCAACTGCTTACTCGCCAGGATCTGGGGATCCTGCTATGCCCAAAGGCACAACAAGTTATTGTGCTCCCTCGTGAAGGGTCGTCTTGAGTCTTTTTCGATAATCTGAACTGTTTATATTGTAGAATTCATCGAATAGATTATCGATGCAAAAAATCAAATTGATTGGATATCTACAGGCCCATAACCAAAGCACATTTATTTTTATAAAAATTAACAGTTAACATAACTTTTATAAATTTTTAAAAATAATTAGAACCTAATTATGGAGTTATAAATATTCGATTAACTTAAATTTTTATATAAATAATATTCTTGACTAATTTTACAATTTGACAGTTCAAATTACCAAAAAACATTCGGCACGTACTCCCACGAAGAAGCACAACAACACCCTAAGTCCTATTTCAGTATCTGTAAAAAAAAAAAAAAAAAAAAAAAAAAAAAACCCCAAATGAGTAATATTAGAAATCTCAAAAATTCTATCAAATGTCTCACATCCCATATGAGTCCTACATCCATATGAGACATTTAATATAACTTTTAATAAAATTCTTGGGATCTCTAATATTTTTGCCTCCAAATACATGCTTCTCACTGTCAAGTCCCCCAAGTCTCAGCTTCGGGATCCCGAACCAATTGCCTCGTTTGCCAATCTCAGCTTCGGACCATCCTAAGCTCGTTCCATAGTTCGTTGAAAATTTAGCACTATTTCGATCACTTTATCTCTCTCTCTGTCTCTCTGCAATACCTCATTTTCTCTCTGTACACACTCTCTCTCTCATCCCAAGCTCGAGAGAGACCTCCATTTCCGTCGACGATTCAAACCCTAGAAATCGCTGAAGCGAAGCCTATCGAAGGATTGGATTCCAGACTTGAATCTGTGTAAGTTCACGCCTCTTTCAATCTCCTCACGAACCCTAATTTTCTATCTCTATCCACCATTTGTATCCAAAGATCGAATTTTTGCTAGGGTTTTGGCGTGTTTGGTTTGGTCCGAGTCGTATCACAGCTTTTCTTGTCGTTTCACGCATTTTCTACTTGATTCCGGTGAATTGCGATTTTATGTTTTCGATCTTGTTGGAGCTGTTGTTGAAATTGTGTTGTGTTGGTCATGAAAACGTTTGATTGTGGTAGAAAATTGAAATTTTAGGGTTTTATGAGAGATTTGGCAAGGCTTGTTCTCTCTATATGTAAGTCCGTAGACGTGTGTATGTGTTTTGGGGGTTGGATTTATGTGGTAGTTTTGAGTTGAAGGAGTTGGGCATGGTAGACATTGGTTCATTTCATTTCACTCCATAGTTCCATTTATAGTTCTATGACTTAAGTTACCCATTTGGAGTAATTTCCATAATGTTGATGCAATTGTAATTGGGTTCTTTAATATGGGTTTCTCAAATGATATTCAGGAATTCATCAATCTAATAAATATGCCTTCTTGGTGATTTACACTTGGAATTGGATATGTTGAACTATCTCAATTGCTGATGTTGCTGAATCTTTAAATTCACTTATTTGTGGCTGGCTCCCTGTTAGTTTGTTTTTGTCATAGAAATGAGAGAATGACATGAAACTGAAGTTTTTTTTCGAATGGCTTCAAGAATTTAAATTCCTATCTACATTGTGGTTAAGGTAGAAGATACCTGAAGTTTATCTTTTGCATCAATTAGGTATAAATAGCTGTTTATTTCTTTATTATTTTCTTTTCTGGATAAATGTGCTGATGTCAAAGTGGGAATAAATAAGTGAACAAGTGCCCTAAGACCACGAAATGAAAAGTTTATATACCATGGTGCTGTGTGTATCTGTTGTGATGGAATGCAAGAACTGTTTTTATCATTTCCTTGTTATGATCAGGTTCTTGTTGTGAAACTGATATAATTGCGTGTATAATTGTTAGGAAGATTTCAGCATATTTATCTGAATTCTGAACAAATTTTGGTTCCTTAAACTTACTTTCCAATTATAGGCAATTTCACTTTCTTCCGTTTGACTTTTAGTTATTTTTCTCTCATTTGGTTTAGAAGTCTCTGTTTAGGTTGAGAATTTAAAGGATCTTGGTCCAAGGAGCATTCTGTATTGCATCTACTACATAGGTATAACTTGCAATAATATGGTTGGTATTTAATCGTCAAGTTTTTGTGATATAATATAATTTTATTTTGGGGTAATTGTTTTAACAATTTTTGTGCCTTACACATGTTATGCAATCATTGTCAAATGTTTGCATATGGAAAGCTTGTTTTGGGTGCTTCTATGCTGCATGATCATTATATACTTCAAATGTTTCTTTTTAAGTTTTTGAAGGGTTAAAGAATGTCTTTTAAGGGTCAAAGAATGCCAAGTTTTGTGATTCCTCTATCTTGTTTTCATCTTTAACAAGTCACCGTGAGGATCTTTATTACTCTTTTTTGATTTGTAATGAACTTATAAACTTGGAATTTAGTAGACACAATAAGTAATTCTGATGGGTGTCTTGGGTGTAGCTGGGATTACAGTGGATTGGATGCTAGGATTCATACCTCGTGGCCTATCAAAGCTCAAAAGAAATATCAATAAATTCTTGAATGGTCCAAGAAGATTTTACAAAAATAGTGAAGGTCATTTTAGATATGTTGCTAATCTCATGTGGATTGATATTTTGAAGTTACTACTGATAGAAGATGGTTATCTAAAGTTGTCCAATCTGGCGGGATTTTAATGTTTGTAGAAAATGGTCATCTTATAGATTCTTGCTTTTGTTCTACATTAAAAGCAAGTGGAAGGTAGGAATGAATTAGAGGGTGTGTTAGTCTTAACTTGTAATTTTTGTGGTTTTGGAGATAGTGAAATGACTTACTTAGATGCTATTTGGTAAATGTTTATAGTTTACTACTATATTTTGTTTACAAAAACTATTAAACATGTTTATGTTTATTTTTGGTAAAACAAAAATAGAAAACATGTTTTAAAAAATTTGTTTTGAAAAAAAGTGAGATGGGGCGACCGAGGTGGTGGTCAATGGCTGAAGATGGTGGGCGGTGATGGTTTCCAGTTCGTGGTGGTGGTTTATGATGGGAGGTGGTGGATAGAGGTGGTTTCCGATATGAGGGAGTGGATGGCAGGAGGTAGTGGTTGGAGGTGCTTGTCGGTGGCTAGAGGTCATTGCCGACTGTGGGAGGTGATTTTGGGAGTAGTTCATTGGTGACAATGGCCTGAGATGGGGGTGGCCAGATGTGGTGATGAGTAGTGGCTGGTGGCTGGTGTCTAGAGGGGGTGAGAGGGAGAAATGAGTGAAAATTAGTTTTCTAATCAAGTAAAACCAACTCTTGTTTTTTTGTTTTTTGGGTTACAAGAGTTTGATACATTTTTGTAAACTATTTACAATTTTTTGAAAATGAAAATAGACACCAAACAAGTTGTTATTTATAGTTTTCAAATTTTCTGTAAACATAAACTAAAACACTACATAACCGTTACCAAATAGGCCCTTAACTTTTTAACATTTGAAAGGAGCTAATGTTTATCATTAGTGTAGTGATTAGCTCTATAATGTTAGTTAATTGTGTTATAAAATGTTTATCTGGTCGGTAGAAATGATTTATGTTGACATTCATTACGTTGTAGTTAAAAAAAAGAAAATAGTTGAGATATATAAGCAATATTGGGAGGGAACATTCTTGGCGAGGAACATAGTTGTCAAATCAGGATTCGAATCGTGAATCAAAATGGCCTTGTACCGAATCTAATCGTCAATCATAAAGATTCGGTCACTTTTTCTAAATTATTTTAAAAAATATATCTACACACTTGGATGTTAAATATATCTTATGAATATAAAATATTTAGACTCGAATTTAGGAAAATGTTGTTTTGAATGATGATCACAAAGTTTAATAGGTAAGAAATTAACAAAGGGTCCTATGTAAGATCATAATTTTACCTTTTTCCTTTTGTAGATATTTCTAATCAATCATTTTTAATTTTTTTGATAAATAAATAATTTATTGAAAGAGCATCAAGATGATGCAATAAATACAAAACATCATAAAAAGTAACTCCTAACCAAGAATGTTATCAATCATTCTTAATAAAGGCAGTAACAAAGATAAACTTTTAATTTTCAAAGTAACAATAATTTAATAACGATATTGATATTTGGACAATAAGCATACATACTTTTCTAAGTAACAATGACCAAATAATTAGAAAAAATTCTTTCTTTGCACCAAACCTATCACAAATCATCTCTACACAACTTGAATCAAAATTTCCAATAAAAAAATTTGGAGTCACTTTCAAGATTCTTACTTCTACATTCTAATCACTTCCAAGATTCTTACTTTCAATTAATGCATGCATTAAAGCCATACACCTTGTTTGGTTACAGAAAATTGAGCTTTCATTTTCCATATTTTTTTGTTTTTAGTCAAATATTTTAATATTTTTAAAGAAAATATTATTTTAGATGTACCTAACAAAGATACACTTAAAAAGTATAATATTTATGGAAAAAAATCTTTAAAAAATTCATCAAATACAAAAAATTTAGTGCATTTTTATATTCTAGTGTATTTATTGAAATTTTTAAATATTTTACTTTTTAGGTGCATCTAAGCTTTGTGCATCTAGAAAGTAAAAAAATTTCTTAAAATATTAAAAGAATTCACTAAAAACAAAAAAAAAAAAATGAAAAATAAAAAACTCAATTTTCAAAAAATAATCAAAACCAAGCAAGGTGATAAGTTTCCTATCAAATCAACCCTTTCTTTGCACCAAATCCATCACACAACCATTGGAGCTGTTAGGTCAAAAAAGGGGTAAAGGGTAGTCCATTGTTTTACCCTTAACAATCCTTCAAAAAGTTTCCTCTCACAACAAAACAATCAAAGCAACTCATTCCAAAGGTTCCATTAAGTCCTAAGTTACTCCTCGCCTTCGTTATCAGAATTTTACAATTCACAATTCGCAATTTGATTCACGATTCGATTCGCATTTTTTGCAAAATCGATACAAATTTATGGGTGAATCTATTTTAGATGTGAATCTCTAGTGAATCGCACGATTCACAATTGACGCACAATTCGATTCACTTTTTACGATTTATGCAATTCTTAAAACTATCGTGTTCGACATATTTTTGACTCATTTTTTCTCTATTTTTTTGGTGAAAATTACATAATTCAACTTCTAATGGCGTTTAGTGCCAAAATAACTAATATATATACATGATTTTTTGTTATTTTAGTGATTATAATCATAGAGTTTTTAATAAGATCCAATTAGATTCAGTCAAACCCAGCATATTTTTTCTTCTCATTTTTTTTTCTTTAAAAAAATCATAATATATCTTCTTAAAGATGTTTAAGATTAAAGTAACTTACACTATGAATTATCTATTGTTATTTTATTAAATCAAATATAGTTAAATATTACATGGGTGAGGTCATTTATACCTTTTAAAATATTTTAGGTTTTAAAATAAAAGATCCTAAATACTTATGGTTTTAATGCATGCATTAATTAAAAGTTAGAATCTTGAAAGTGATTAACCATTGTAAGTCTAAGAGATTGATTTATGAGTAGTTTTTTCCCCCTTCTTTCATTTTGTTCTTAATTTTTTGGGCTAGGGGCAGGGGGCGAATTGGTGCAAGATTATTTTTGGAAGGTTTTATTGAGAAGCAATTTGAATTTTTAGTGAACTAAGGCATTGTTAGCTATGAAGCACGAACATGGATACGGGACACGGCGGTTTAAAAAAAAAAGGGACGACACGACACATTGTTTTTGTTTTATTTTATATATATTTGCTACGTAGATTAATATTATGTTACCAAACAATCAAAATTAATAAAAATTAACTTTAATTAAATATATATATATATATATATAAATCACTACATTTATATTTATAAAGGTAAAAAAAAACAAATAGAAAAATTAAAAAATATATTAAAATAATTATAAATATAGAAAAATATATAAACTTATAAGGAAAAAAATTAATAGAAAAATATAAAATATAAAATACATAAATATATATATATATATATAGAGAGAGAGAGAGAGAGAGAAAAGGAAGAGGTGAGAGAGAAAAAGGCGCGAGAGGCCAAAGGTGAGAGAGAGACGAGAGGTGTGAGAGAGAGAGAGGGGGGGCGAAGTTCTTAGGGAGACGAGAGAGAAAGAGAGACTTAGGGGTTGTTTGAGATGTTCTAAATAAGTGCACTTTTTGTCTTTTTATAAAAAGATGTGTAGAAAAGTAAAGAGAATATGTTGATTGATATGACTCAAAAAAGATAAAAAGATAAAAAGTGTGGACTTATTTAGTCTTCCCAAACAAGGTCTTACCTGACTGATCGAGGTCATCCACATGGGGGTCGACTGGAAGAAGCTTCTTTTGCTTCTGGCGTGTCCGATGAACCACGTACATTCGACAAACTAGTTTCTTCTTGCCGATGAACCACGTACATTCGACAAACTAGTTTCTTCTTTTTCTTCTTCTCTTCTCCTTCTCTATTCTGATTTTGAGATTCAGGGCCAAAGCTTTGAACTCTTTCTGGTGTGATTCTGGACACGCATGTCCCGACATGTCCCTTGCCATACACCTTGTTTGGTTACAGAAAATTGAGCTTAAAAAAAAAAAAATTAAAGGGACACTTCAAATGGTGTGTCCTGTACTACAACACCTATTTCAACATGTCGGTGCCACATAGATTGTGGGTGTTTAGAAAATTGCTATTTTAGTAGGTTATTTTAGTTTTTGGCTATTTTAGGAGGCTAAAATTTTTGTGTTTGGAAAAATAGTTGAATTTTTTTTGTAGTTAGATGTGATGTTTTTGAGAGAAAAAGTGAAATGATTATGGGTTTGATGTGACATTTTGTCTTATTGGCTATTTTAGTCTATTTTGTCTTTTAGTGCTATTTTAGCCAAAAAAGCTAAAAAAGCTTCTTCCCAAACATCCCCATCGTTAGTTTTTGCCTACAGTTTTTTAGGAGGAGCTACAAGGTTCTATATTTTTTGTCCCAAAAGGCTGGGAAGCCAAGTGATGCCACATGTATTGCATGGCTAAACAAATATATAACAGGCTTTGAAAGCCCGAAACAAAGTCTAAAGGTCTCACGATTAACAAAAAACTTTTTCGTTCAAAGAGAAGTGTCTATGGTAGTGTTTAGCAGTTAAGGATATTTTAGTAATTTCATTATTTATTGGGCATGAGCTGTAGGGGTTGCTCTTGGGTTTTCTTTCGGGTTAAGTTATTAAATGGGCCATTATATATGAGTTTTATTATTTCTATAATAGTTAGTGGTCAAAAGGGTCAAAGTTTTCTATTTTGAATTCATATATCATGGGTGGATTAGAATTAGAACTCGTATTTGTAGTTGCTCTAGAATATTTGTAGTTACCAAATATTCTTAGTTTTTGAATTTGAGTCATAATAGTCCTTGTAGAAGTAGGAGTCTTTAGCTTATAAATATATGTGTAATTCAATGATTCAAAGGACTTGATTTTATGAATTTGAGATTGTATTTACATGAATTTGCCTAACCCTTGCTAGGATGAAATATTTATTTCCTTATCTTCTCCTTCTTTATGCACATACCTAAGTTACTATTCTTCGATAATTATTTACAGCTCTCAAAACATGGTTACTTTTCAAAACCAATCATTACCAAATCTACTGTAATCCTTTTTCCTAATTTAACAATTAAAATGTTAAATTACTCATTATTTAGGCTCTTAAATAGTCTCTGTTATGAAAATCCAACAAGCTGTCCTACATCACCAAGTGTATGGGCAAGGCATAAGGTTAGATGCCCAAAGAAAGGAATAAAAAAACTGATAATTCATCCATACATTGTTCTCATCCTTAATTCATTTAATTTTTACGGTTAGATAATTTTCTGAGGAATGTCATTGCCTTTCAATTGCTATGATTTGTGCTGATTATTTGTTTGCTTTTCAATTTCTCCTTTCTTCAATTAAGGTTGTGATTAGGTTTCCAATATAAAAATGAAGTTAGCATAGTAAGTTCAATGTTACAATTGAGAGCCGAAGTTTAGAGACATGAAAATAAAAGGTTGAGTTTAGTTTGAGCATGTGATTGTTGTTGAAAGCAAAACATATGCATTTTTGTAGTTGAAAATTGTCCTAGCAGCGACTGGTTGGACTCGGCAACTTTTCACCTTTGCCTAGGTACTTCCCTTTAACAAAACCCTCTCTGCGTCATAGAGGCATCGATTGGTAACATGTGAAAGTCATTTCAATTTATTCCCAGTCATTTCTAGACCAAGCAATGGAAAGTCTACTATGTACTAAAATTTTGTAACGCTTAAAGTGTCTTGATGTGACTTCTTACACATAAAAGTTGTCATTTTGTCTCTGTTTAACTGACCTTCGTTGGTTTTTCTTCATGGACATTATGCAGGGTGAAGTCTTGAGGTTGGCAATTTGGTTGCTGGAGTGACGCTTAATTATCTATAAGAGAAGTGTGCTTTCATGAATGCTATAGTTTGTTTAAATTAAGTACTATTGTTGTTGGATCTCAAATGGAGTGATGAAGACTTGACTTTGTTAAGTTAATTTTTTTTAAAAAATAAAGATAAAAAATTAGCCGCCAAAGTTTTGCGGGGTTGAACTATCTATGCCTGGCAACGAAGTTGGAGACAGGGTTCACAATTTCTTTGCTCAAGACAACTTGTCCCAGGGCCAGGATCACTCACAGGTTGTTGACGGTAGTTGGTCGGTGCTAAGTAACAATCTGTGGGCTGGAAGCCAGAGACATATTGGCTTACCAAGTTCCAATTCAAAAAATTACAATCTAGAGCAAGGTATTAGTAATATGGTTTTCTAGCTGACTAATTACTAATGGTTTGTAATGTTTTGATCAATCATCTCATGGAAGCTGAATTATTATTTTTGTTTTTCCTCCCATTTATTTGAGAATAAAGGTTTACTTGGTATTGGAATCTGTGTTAGAAATGAATTTTGTGTCTTTCATTCTTTTCCAGTGCCACATGGCTTGAACTTCACGCAGTCGACTCCGAGGCCTGAGCTTGCTAAAAGCCACTCTCAAAGCCAGCAGCCAAATCTGAATGGCTATATTCATGGACATCAGATTCTGCAAACAAGACAGAATGAAGAGAACTTTTTGGGAGTGGATACAGAATCTGTTTGCCATAATATAACATCAAGAGGCTTATCTATATATGAATCACAGCAAGGGAATGGTCCTGAAAATCATACAAGCTCAGTTAGGTCAGAATCATCTGAATCTCCTGTTAGTTTTGATTTTTTTGGTAGTCAGCAACAGATGAGTGGCCAGCAAACAGGCATACTGCAATCTTTGCCGAGGCAGCAGCCTGGATTTAATGACATGCAGCTACTGCAACAACAGGTCATGTTGAGGAAAATGCAAGAGCTTCAGAGGCAGCAACAGATGCAGCAACTAGAAGCAAGACAACAGAATTCACTAAATCAGATTCCCTCCATTACAAAACAGGCATCTGGCAATCATTCACCTGCCGTAATTAACAGCACTCCCATTTCCCCCATGGCGGAAGTGTCAAAAAATCCTTGGGCAAATGAGCCTACTGCAGGTAACACAAACTGGCTGCAGCGTGCTACTCCTGCTATTGAAGGTTCCTCTAATGGGTTTAGATTTTCCCCTGAGCAAGGCCAGACACTGAGCTTAATGGGTTTGGTTCCTCAACAGGTTGATCAATCTCTATATGGGGTTCCTATTTCTAATACAAGGGGCACTCCACACCAGTACTCTCACGTCCCACTGGATAAGTCTCCAATGCAGCAAATGACAATGTATAGTAATTCTTTTCCAGGTAATCAATATGCTGGATTCCCAGAACAGGTTAACATGCAGGATGGATCTTTGGTTTCTAGACAGGGATTTCAAGGGGAAAACTTGTTTACCCATGCTTCTGGCCAAGGTCTCAATAGTGGGATGAATTTTGAGAACCTCCAGCAAGTAAAAGCCCCACAAAGAAATGCACCTGTTCAGGAGTTCCATGAGAGGCAGGAGCTAGCTGGTCCATCAGAAACAATGCAGCAAAAAACAGTAATGCAGGTTTCTTCTTCGCAGAATGTGGTTGCCTTAGATCCAGCTGAAGAGAAGATTTTGTTTGGGGGTGACAATATATGGGATGCCTTTGGCAGTGGTGCCAACATGGGGGCTGGCAGTGTTAATCTGTTGAATGGTACAGGAGATTTGAATGGATTTCCGTCTGTACAAAGTGGGAGTTGGAGTGCTCTTATGCAGTCTGCTGTGGCGGAAACGTCTAGCAATGACACAGGGCTTCAGGAAGAGTGGAGTGGTCTTAGTTTTCAGAATACTGAAGTTCCAGTTGGAAATCGTCAGTCCTCAACTTACGAAGACAATACGAAACAACAGACAGTTTCAGCTGATAACAACTTGCAGATTGCATCGGCATTGAGTTCTGTATCTGTTCCCTTCTCTGATGATGCCAATCTTAATAATAGCTATCAGGGTGTCCCAGGCTTTCAGCAGTCTACACAGAAATTTGCATATGAACATGGTGAGAGGCTGCGGACGGATTCTACTTGCAGGTCCATTCAGCAGTACCCTGAAGAAGGAAGCAAGTGGTTAAGTCGCGGTCCTCTACAGAAGCCACTTGCTGAAGGGAATCAGATTTATGGAAATACTAATGCTGAGAACATTTCAGGATCTTGGGCTCATCAACAGAGTGTTTCCTCTTATAACTCTGGCCTGCCACATCATAAACCCATTGGTCGCAATGACGGTGAGACTGTATCACCTGGTGGGGATGCAGTGGCGAAAATGCTTGGGAGTGAAAACAAATTGCAACGTTCTCACAGTAACAATCATAAGAGAATGATGCATGAGGAAATGAGTTATAGTGGTCATATATGGAATTCTGGTCCCAATTCAACTGGCGGACAGGAGCATGTAAAATCTGCCATGGAAAATCCACAGGTGAACAGAGAGGACTCGAGTTTGAATGATCTTGCTGCAATAACAAACTCTAGCACTGCAAGGGCGAGCCAGGAAACCAGCCAACTACTTCCCAATAGTCATCACCATAATTACTGGAAACATGCTGAATCTTCAATGAAAAGCAAAGGAAGTGAGGATTCAGGGAAGTTCCAGCATCATCTGAACAATGGCCCCCGGGTTTTGGGGTCGTCCATGAACAGCTCTGGTAAGGATGCAGTTAAAACGCATGAGACAGAGAACTGTGATAGAAAAGAGAATTCTAGTGACAGCCATCGCTCTAACTTATCCCAGCACACTACCACTGGTGGTTTAAGGGAAAATGTTTGGTCAGATGGAAATGATTCACGGAATTTGCCTGGAGGCAAGCAAAAGTTTTCTGGTCCAGCTAGAAGGAGAGCTCCTGGTCCTCACAAATTTCGGAACTTGGATGAGGATGTTCAACCTTCTTATGAAGTGAAACATGCTACCCATGCACAGGTCATGTCGCAGCAGATTTCTAGATCATCATATAGTCCCAATCAGGGGTATTTTGGGCAGTCCAAATTTTTTGGTCAATTCCCTGAAACTTCTACTGAAATGGAAAAGGTGAATCATGGGCTTATGTTATTTGTTCTCTTTTTTTAATTATTATTTTTGTATTTTTAAAATGTATTTGAATACTGATTTCAGCTAGAATATATAAAATTACCTTATTTGCAGGGTAATTCGCCTGATCAAGGAAACAAAAAGGGGGAAGATGATGCACCCTCGGGAGACGACCCTCCAGGTTTTGCACCTAATACTTCTGCTTCCTTCGACAGATCTGTTAGCATACACGCACCAAATAAGGCTGCTCAATCAAGGTAGTTAGTTGTTAAACTTTTGTTTCCTTTATTGCTTTAACTGTGATTCAAGTCTTGGATGCATGCTAGTATGATTTCTACAATTTATATAAGATAGGTACCAATGATTAGTTGATAACTGTTTCTTGTATCTGCTGTCAACCATTGTTGTTTGGATATGATTTCATGAGCCATTTGACAGCAGATAATGAATTGCCTCCCCCTTACATTGTGTGATTCATATGATTTCATGAGCCATTTGATTTGTGTTACAGGGGTTTGTGGCATGAAATAATGAATTGCCTCGTTCAGTTGTCTACTGCTCCTCACCATTACACTCCTCCCCCCGTTCTCCCCACTTAAATCGTTCTGCACTTTTGATGAGGGCTGGCTTGACATTGCGCTTAGCATCCTGTTTATCCCCCTCACTAAAGGAAGTAATAATCCACACCAACTTCCTATCAGTCTTCGCCATGCACCTTACCTCTCCAACACCACCTCGCGTAACCTGTTGGGATCGTCCATATGTTGACAACAGAATCCTCTATAGCTGAATGGATAATCTTAACCCCCACTTGATAGTGATAACACTAGACCGAACTAAGGTGTAATTATGGTGGCAAGACATGTAGGGGTGGGGATGTTTCAATGAAATGCAGCTTAGCTCACACACTGAAGTATTGCCATAATTAGAAGTGTCTAGAAACTTGGAAGACTTTCTTTATATATATTTTGGCTTATTTGTTAGCTTTAATTTTTATTTATTTATTATTATTTTTTTCTCCCTATAGTTTGAAGTTGTAGCCTTGATGCTTCTTACAATCCAATAGCTAAGCTCAAGTCCATGGTGCATGCAAGTATAGGTTATGTGGTTGTGAATTAGAATTGACAGTACTTAGTGCTTTTGAGCTAGACTACATATCATGAAAAATATGCAACGAAATTCATCACCAAAACACAATTTGAGTGGGACCCACCTTTGCTGACAAAATTCGATACAACATTTTTGTTGTCAATAGATTTACCCTTTTTCACAGGTTGTGGTTGGAGATTCGGATTCTATATTCTTAATGCTTCTTATGGTATTAGCCATATGGTTGGAGATTTTGGAATTGTGTACTTCTTGGATGCCTTATTGGTCTAATGCAATGCAATCATACTGAATTTGATTCATATTTACTTTTCATTTGTGTAAGTTGGATACTAGGACTATTGATAAGATGCATTTGGTTAACACGTTGAGCCATACTTTTGAACATGTCATTGGTTATACCTTATTTTTGTACTTTTCTTGGGTTTTATGTTAGTATACCTAATTTTTTTTATCCCATATTCTGTTATGCCTACGTATCTTAATGATATGCAATACAAGAGGATATGCATATCAGGAAAGTCTTGTGACAATACACTATGTCTCATGATTCGATAGCATGATTGTCAGTTCCTATTTAGTAGAGTATGCCTCTACAAATATTTACTTGACTCTTTTTGGTTTAGTGTTCAACTGTATAAGGTTTTCAATTTTTTTGGGGTGCTTCCTATGATGTTTTTAACTTTTTATATTGTTACTTGCATGCTTTAAAGAGACAATCTATGTTCAATGCAGTCAAAATATGCTTGAGCTTCTTCACAAGGTGGACCAATCCAAGGAACATTGCAATTCTGATGGATCTGTTGGTCCCCTTCAGCAAAGTCAGTCTTATGCCTCTCATGGCTTTGGTTTACAACTTGCACCTCCATCACAATGGTTGCCTGTCCAAAACCGTGCATTGCCTAAGCAGAGTGCACAGACAGTCAGTTCTCTTAGTTCGTGTCACGCCACTCCTGATATAAGAGAAAAGGGCCATACATGGTTGGCTTCCACAGCTCAAGAACAATCTTCACCTTCTTCCCAAGGAGAATTCAAGGTTAATAAAATTGGTATGCCAGACCGAACTGGCAGTGAAGCCTCACAGTATGGTATGCAGGGAAACTTCTCTTCAGCGTTGACTTCTGGTTTTCCCCATTCAAGAATTCAGCTTCAAAATCAACAAATGATTGGTCCAAGCGGACACACATTGGATCCCACTGATATCAATCATTCGCACGAAAGAGTCTCTGCCCTGCAAATTTCAGCGGGGGCTGTGCCATCCTCGCAGCCTTTTATTTCACCTGGCATATCTCAACAAGCTGAATTACCGAAAATGGTGCCTAATGCATGGACCAATGTTCCTGATTGGCAGCATTTGTTTGGTGCCCAATCTAACAAATTTCCTGCTAGTACTTTCCAGCCCACTCAATCAAATAATAATTTGGTATCAACTTCATCCTCACCACAGGATCAAGATGTGCAAAGAGGGAATGGCCCATCTGAGTTTGATGCAAATTGTATGGATTCACAAGGTTTTGTTTGTGGGGAAGGGAAAGAATCTGTTGTCAAGAATCTGTCGGATACCTCTCCTGCAAATTCTGCCACGACTCAGAGAGATATTGAAGCCTTTGGTCGTTCTTTAAAACCAAATAATCCTTTGCATCAAAGTTACTCTTTACTGCATCAAATGCAGGCCATGAAAAGTACAGAGACTGATCCAAGTAATAGGGGCTTGAAGAGATTGGAAGGAGCAGATAGTGGTCTGAGCTCTCAAATGGCTCTCAGGTCTGGGCAGTCAAGTGAGCAGAGTGTCTTGGCTGGAGATTTGTTAGTTCAGCGTGGTGTAGCTCCATCTGGAGACTCTAAAATGCTAAGCTTTTCAGGGCCAGCAGATAATTTGGAAAGAAATGTTTCATCTCAACTTGGGAATGGACCTTCTCAGGATGCACTTGCCTATGGTTGGAAGGATTCTGAGAATGACTCTCATAGTAATAATACAGCTTCTGTTAGAGCTGATCATTCTCAGATTAGTCCCCAGATGGCGCCTTCCTGGTTTAATCAATTTGGAACATTTAAAAATGGGCAGATGTTGCCAATGTTTGATGCACGGAAAAATGCCACTGTAAAGACTATGGAACAACTGTTCACACTTGCAAAGTCTGCTGATAGTTTTTGTGCACCAAATTCATTGGACCAAGTGAATGCTACTGCTGATTCAAATCAGATGGGTAATGTCTGGCAAAGGTCAACACCGGTTGAGCATTTCTCTTCTGCCCTGTCATTAGCCCAGGATGTGCTGGATCGAAGTTTGGTTGTTGCGAGGCCAAAGAAACGGAAAAATGCTACATCAGAGCTTCTTTCTTGGCATAAAGAAGTGATACAGGGTTCTCAAAGGCTTCTGACTATAAGGTGGTTGTCTTAATCAAATTTCCTATTCTGTTTCCCTCACCTTTCTGTATCATTGTTTTTTACACAAGGTGTTCGGTGTTCTGTGAATATAATGTATCAAAAGCTCATATTGCATGGTCTACATGGTTGCTTCTTTTATTTATTTATTTATATATATTTATTTTTTCCCACTAGTAATGTTGATTGTTTTATTTTGGGTTATTGTGTGCAGCATGGCAGAAGCTGACTGGGCCAAAGCAGCAAACCGGCTAATGGACAAGGTGTGCTGGTTTTACATTGTTTCATGTATTTTGTTCGTGTCCTTGTGTAGTTTTGTATTGTTTCTAAGGCTTCATTTATGATGACAGGTGGAAGATGAAGCTGAAATGATTGAAGATGGACTACCCGTGCTCAGACATAAAAGACGTCTTATCTTGACAACACAGCTAATGCAGCAATTATTTCATCCTCCCCCTGCCGCTGTTCTTTCTGCAGATGCCAGTTCAAACTATGAGACTGTGGCTTACCTGGTTGCTAGACTAGCGTTAGGGGATGCATGCAGCCCAATCCCATGCTCTGGAAACAATTCAAGTGTGCCTCTTGACAGCTCAAACCTGTAAGAACTGCTCTTGAAGTTACCTGGAATTTGTTCATTCATATTCATGCTAGATCATGTTTGATACTTGTGGTTTCAATGAGGGCATTATCTTTCCATAATTATTGTTTTGTGAAAAATGTCTTGTAGCTTGTTGGACAATCGTAAAACATCAGAGAGAATTGGTGATGAGCATCTCTCTAAAGTTATGGAAGACTTCATTGGTAGAGCAAGGAAGCTAGAAAATGATTTTGTGAGGTAACCCTCTGGATCTTAAATTTGCACTATTTGACATTTATTTATTAGGTAAATTGCACTGACACCCCTGAGGTTTGTGTTACAGCTTCCGCCTTCAGGTTCTAGAAATTACACTGATTTTCTGTGTCAGTGTTTCTCTTTTAATGGGATTAACAGGAAAGTAAAATTACCGAATTATTCTTATACACCAGTGCAAAAAGACGTTAATAACCTCAACAACATTAATACCATCGACAGCCCAATGCACTGACCTGGCCTCCCCTACTCTCTTTAAATCTCATCTCTTTCATCGCGACCTCTTCTCCAAATTGCCTGATTGGATGATGGTGGTCGTGGGGTAGGGGTGACAGCGGGTGATGATGGGGCTGTTTCTCAGATTGGGTGGTGTTGGTTTTTATCAGCAATGTCAATTTGGATTATGGTGGTTGTGGGGATGGGTGAGGGTGGGTGATGGGGAAGGTGGGGTGGAGGTGGAGGGTGGGAAGGATGGTGGTGACTCTGAGTGGTAGGGCTGAGGTGGTGGCAGCAATTGGAAGGTGATGGTGGCTCAAAGTGGTTAATGCTTGGGGTGGGAGATGGTGCAGAGATGGGTGGTTCTGTGTTTGATTTTGAGAGGGCTGGCTGTGATAGACAATTGGTAGATTTGGAATTTCAAAAAGTTTAATTTCTTACCTCAACATTTTCTGTTTGTTGACTAATAGAGGGGGGAAATTGTGGTGTGACTCTAAACCTGAAAATATAATTTCCAGAATGCCAAGGGTACTAATGTAATTGGGCCAAACCTTAGGGGGTGTTGATGTAATTTACCCTTATTTATTTGTTTTGGCACCTAAAGTCTTGAATTTGTTTTTTCTTGCCAGTTGCATGACAATTTACTTGGGTTATGTTTGGATCATGAATTTGAGTAGAGATTTGTAACGGAGAAAAAAGTGAAGAAAATGTGGAAGAAACATAAGCTCTTTTCTTACTTACCCAAAAAAAAGAAACACAAGCTTAATTTTTTTCAATTTTCTCTCCATTTCCCACTGCTGTTCCTTTTCCTTTCCAAATCCCTAGCCAAATTCATTTTCCAAACACAACCTCTACTTCTGACGCCTACGTCTATATTACATGCATACCTACACAAGCACAAAAAAAGGGTACAAGAGGTCACAAAATGTTGGCTCTTAACCTTATTACAAAACTAAATTTAATAAAATCAGACTGTATTCTCAACCATGATAAGTTGCCTTAATTAAGTTGTAATCTCTCTACTCTCTCCGTCCCATTTTATTCGTCCACTTTTCTATTTTAGTCCGTCCCAAAATGTTTGTCCACTTTCTATTTTGGGATATTAAATTTTGTTAGATTTCCAAAATTGCCCATTATAAATCATTATAAACACATTTTAAAATGAAAAAAGAAGGGTAATGGTGGGAAAAACATTTCAAAAATTGAATTAAAATGTAATGATTGCATGTCTCCTTAATAAGTTGGATTTTGTATAGTGGACAAATAAATTGGGACAGAGGGAGTAATGATCTAAGCTTTTGTTTTTCACCCTCCTGAAGTACCAACATATAGAAAGTAAATAAAGATTTCATTCTAATGTCTCTTATTTTAGAAAAAAAGTTTGGTCTCATTTTGCTAACTGAAGTTTAAGGAGTTAAACTATAGTTATCAGATTTAAGTATATTTTAGTTGTTAATATATAAATATACAATAAAATTCCCAAGTTTGTTTTTGGTTGCTGCTGCTGTTATTATCTGATTTCTGTTCCTTCATTTTGTGGTTTTAATTCTTTCTTGTGGTGCAGATTGGACAAGAGAACGTCAGTCCTAGACTTGAGAATTGAAAACCAAGATCTTGAGAAGTTTTCCCTGATCAATCGTTTTGCTAAGTTCCATGGCCGTGGGCAAGCTGATGGGGCCGAGTCCTCATCGTCCTCTGATGCAGCTGCAAATAATTCTCAGAGACCCTGCCCTCCCCTGAGATACGTTACTGCTCTACCAATGCCTAGAAATCTCCCAGACAGGGTACAATGTCTTTCACTTTGATCATTAATTATTAATTTATTTGTCTCCCTTTCTTGGTCAACTTTCTCGTGTCCCTCTTGTTTCTATGATCATTTAGATCAACACCATAGAAATGGATATACTAGATTTGTCTCCTTTGAAGGAATCGAGGTCGTTCGATATTTTTCCATCTAGGCCATTGGTGTAGTCATTCTTGATAAATGTAAGTTCAGTCCTTTGTAAATCTCTGAAATTTAACCGATACTTTTGGGGTGCCCCATCATTTTTGCAGTAAATGGGCTGAGGAATATAAGTGCAATCTAATATTTTGAAGATGTTTTCACCTATTTAGTCAATGATTTCCTCTGATGTGTATAAATTTTATTTAATTACCTTTTTAAAGGTTTTGGTCTAGTACTAAATTTTCTTGGTTCTCACCATTTGTGATGTTCGGATCTTACTTTCTGAACAAAATTCAAATGTTCAAATATCAACTATTAAGTAATGTTTATATCTAAACGATTCATTTTTGTTCGAAAGTTAACATTTGAACGACTAAATGGTGTGGAATGAAATTTTTTGTGGCATGCGAATAGTGGTTTTCGATTTGGCAGTTGCCAAATATGGGTTGTCATTTGCTCATTATTTCATTAAATTGGTGTTGTAAATCTTGTCTGAAATTCCTCAAAATGAAGAATGTAAATTAAATTAAAATGGGATTATTAACATCGGAGAAAAGGTGGGCAACTTGGTGTGCCCCTACGAGTTTTTTAAATGTTTTATGTGGGAATGTTATAAATCGCAAAATTTTGGAAAGTGCTCATTAAATTGGTATTGTAATTTATATACTCCCGTCTCGTTTTGTTAATCAACTATTTCATTTTGGGATGTCTTAAAATGATACTCTCATTTTGAAAAGTCAAAGTAAAAAAAATATTTGAATAATTATAAATATATTAAATATTTGAAAAGATAGGAACAATAATAAAAAAAAATATTTTGAAATTTGTATGCACCTTTAAAAAGTTTGAATCCAAGGGAGTAAATGTTATTAGTAATTATGTATTAAAAGTTTTGGTAATTATTTTTTATTCTTTTTTACCTTGATTCCATTTTCATTGTTGAATAATGGACAAAATCGATCCCATAACAGTGAATCCATGTGACATAGGGTTACTATTGGTTAAATCAATAGAATCTATCATATTTTTGTCTCTTTTAAAGAGATAATAATAAGACACTTATTCTTTAATAAATAATACGAAGGAATATTTCAAAATCAACCAATAATTTCTCGTAATAAAGTGAACAGTTGTTGCTGAATTATGGGCCACAATTCAAACGTGTGGATATAACTTCTTGGAATTTAATTTTAAATAATTATTTGACGGCCACAATTCAAATGTGTGGATATGACATCTTGGAATTTAATTTTGAATAATTATTTGAAGGGTCATGCTAATGCACTTGTTAACAGATAATTAATAATATTTTATTGTATTTATATTACTTATCAAAATCAAAATAATTTAAGAGTTTTGTTAACATATGTTCTTAAGACACACATGTTAAAAAAGTAATAAATAATTTCAACAATATGTATGGAAAAGGTAAAACAAAAGTAGAAATAAATTTGATAGGGGTTGTTAAATGTCCTTACATTTTTTCTTTAGATCCCCACCTCTTCTATTTTTTTTTACAATTTTGTCCTAACATCATTTTCTATTTTTGACCCCATCTCTATATGTCCAACCCCACTTTCACTTCCACCTCCACCTCTACTTTACTCTAGCTAGTAGCCTACTCTGGTAGCCATCCCAGTGCCTTCCCACTAGTGACTACCCTCCCACCACCGTGACCCTTTCCATTTCTTTCTCTCTCTCTCTCTCTCTTTATTTTATTTTATTTATTTATTTTTTAGGCTCACAGAGACAGAGACAGACAAAGAAAACAGGGGCGTACTACCCTAGACCCAATCCAATAGGCCAATTCCTGACCTTTTCTCTACTCGTCCTGTATTTCTGATCCCGAGAATCAAAGTCCGACATTGTATCGTTTTGACAAACCCTAGCTCCAGTTAGGGGTCCTCAGCAGATATTCTGATTCGCCCAAACCGAATCGATCCGCCATATTTTGGATGGATGCGTGATGACGAGCTGGTGGTTGCGGATTGATTTTTTTCAATTTGCCTAGTTTTGGACGGATGACAGATTTGAGGTTCCTTTGGCCGCAACCGAACTGCTAAACCGCGAGCACTTTTAGTAATTTGTAAGTGTAGACACCCCATTTTTGACCGTCCTCAAGACTTGGACGTCACCGTTTGAACACTCGGTGATTATCCTTGTTTGTGTTCGTTTGGAGTTCCCGGAGGCTTCGGCCCGCGCGCCTTGCCTCAGGATCCCCGAACTCGACCGTTTAGTGTCTGGTTTTGCACCAAACACTTGCATCTTGCCTTGGAAGGGTAAGGTGGTATTTTTGACCCCATCTCTATATGTCCAACCCCACCTTCACCTTCACCTTCACCTCCACCTCCACCTCTACTTTACTTTAGCTAGTAGCCTACTCTGGTAGCCATCCCAGTGCCTTCCCACTAGTGACTACCCTCCCACCACTGTGATCCTTTCCATTTCTTTCTCTCTCTCTCTCTCTCTCTCTTTATTTTATTTATTTATTTTTTAGGCTCGCAGAGACAGAGACAGACAAAGAAAACAGGGGCGTACTACCCTAGACCCAATCCAATAGGCCAATTCCTGACCTCTTCTCTACTCGTCCTGTATTTCTGATCCCGAGAATCAAAGTCCGACATTGTATCGTTTTGACAAACCCTAGCCCCAATTAGGGGTCCTCAGCAGATATTCTGATTTGCCCAAACCGAATCGATCCGCCATATTTTGGATGGATGCGTGATGACGAGCTGGTGGTTGCGGATTGATTTTTTTCAATTTGCCTAGTTTTGGACGGATGACAGATTTGAGGTTCCTTTGGCCGCAACCGAACTGCTAAACCGCGAGCACTTCTAGTAATTTGTAAGACTTTGTGTTTTCAATTTATTTAGATATTCTGTTTGTATTTTCAATTGAAAAAGTGTTTAGATATTCTGTTGTGTTTTCAATTTGTTTTCAATTTAGAAATTCTTTTATCAAATGACAAGTGTTGATATTTGGTATTTTTGTGTGAGAAATATAAAGCTTAATTTTATCATTTAAAAAAAAAACAAATTAAATAATTTTGGAATAAAAAAATGTAATGAAATAGTTTTGATAATTTATGGTTTTCTTATATGTATTTATTATTGGTAGTTGTAAATTGATAATCTTTTAGTTATGTTAAGTTGGATTATTATCCAAAAAAAATGTTGACAAGTTGTTGTATTATGTTTAAAATTTGTAAAAGTTTAAACTGCCAAATCAATTCGCATCCATTCGCCAATCCGCTAATCTGCTCAATCCGCATCCGTCAATTCGGCGGACAGATGGCAAATTGGAGGTTCCCCAGCCACAACTGAATTGCGAGCACCCCTAGCCCTAGTAGTCCTCCAATGGTCGTGCTAGGAGGAATTGAGCCCAACATTGTTGATCGAGTGAATCAGACTCCGTTTTTTCAAAGGACTCTTCGATTGGGTATTTTTGATTTTGGCTTGTGATTTTCGAAATCGAGATTATCCTCGGTCTCTAGGGTTTTGTAGCAATCGGGGCCGCCATTGTTAATGAGGTTGGTCAGAGGTCGAGTCCTGGAGGAGTTAGCAGCTAAACCAAGGTCTTTGTTCTCACTTTCTGCGGCACTATCATCGCCACAACAACCACCGTCTTTCTCCTCTAATCGTTCGACGAAATTTCCTACAGAAATTTCCCACTTGGTCTAAACCCGTTTTCCTATTCTGAAGTTCACAATTCGAACACATCTCAGATCTCTCTCTCTCCAAAACTACTCAAAGTAGTGTCAATGGTGGTAGCCGTGAATAGTGGTACCGACGTAGAAACGGAGCTAGCTGCGGTGGTTGCTGGAGTTGATGGGGATGGGATTATGGTTAGGGTTAGGGTTTGAGTTAGGGTTTGGATTTGGGGTTAGAGGTATAATTGGTATTAAGGTGAAGGTTCAAAGAGAAAACATGAAGGTTTCATTTTGTTGGGTGAGAGGTTCAAATAAGTAGGAGAGGAGGGGGCAAATAGCAGCCCTCATTTGATATTATTGAAATACTATTTTTTTTTCCCTTACATGGACAAAAGTAACCCCATTTGTCTAATAGGGATAAACTCTCATTTATACCTCATCTTTCCATACCTTTTCATGCTCTTCTTGGAGGTTTCAATTCGAACTTGCATTGATGATCCAAACCATCTATCTTGTAGGCTCCGTAATAAAGGTCATCCATGTAAAAAATTAGCATCATCAGACAATTATAAACATGAAAAAAAATGCATTTTATTTTATATAATATATGATTTAAATGTAATTATATTTAACTATTCATTTTATAAAATAAAGTGCAATTTATTTTTGTATTTATAATTTTCGGATGATATTGATTTTTTTCATGGATGACCTTTATTGTGGGGCTTACAAGTAGGGGTGTTCATGGGTCAAGTCGGCTCGGGTTCACCCCCTAACCGCTAGTCGAACTGAACATGTCGGGTGAGAATATGAATCACCCGCTTTCAACCGCCATACTGGTCAAAATCGTTCGAACCAAGTGATTCAGTTTTACGGTCGGATCGGACGGATGATACATACAAACCATTTTTTTTTTTTCACATTCAAACAAACTCAAAACAAAAAATATATACAATCCAAATATATAAATACTGATCTAGACCAGATCTGAAAAAGTGATATTAAAAAAAAAAATTAATAATAGCGAGACTATACCCGCACATCATCGCACAATTATCATCGTCACTTGACACCATCGCCAAGCATGAGTGTTCAGAAATCAAGAGTGAGGGAGAGAGAGAGTGATAACTACAATTGATCAATCATGAGAATATGAATCACCCGCTTTCAACCGCCATACTGGTCGAAATCGTCCGAACCAAGTGATTCGGTTTCACGGTCGGATCGGACGGATGATACATACAAACCATTTTTTTTTTTCACATTCAAACAAAACTCAAAACAAAAAATATATACAATCCAAATACATAAATACTGATCTAGACCAGATCTGAAAAAGTGATATTAAAAAAAAAAATTAATAATAGCGAGACTATACCCGCACATCATCGCACAATTATCATCGTCACTTGACACCATCGCCAAGCATGAGTGTTCAGAAATCAAGAGTGAGGGAGAGAGAGAGTGATAACTACAATTGATCAATCATTGTCATCAAGTTTAACAATCCAAAGCTTGCACTTCACTAAAGGGCTTTGGTAGAGCTTAGATATCTATTGCCCCACTGTGTGTATGAAAGAAAAAAAAAAAATTTGAGAGAAAGAGAGAAGAAACGAAATGGTCAAGAAAGAGGGAGAGGCAGACGAGAGGTTTACTGAGAGACAGAGAGATATCATTGTGCAAGAGAGAAGGAAAAAGATTGAGAGAGAGAGAGAGATGAAACGGTCAAAAAAAAGGTTGAGAAGGAAAAGGTAGACGAGAGAGAGAGAGAGAGAGAGAGAGAGAGAGAGAATAGAAATTGGTCAGATGCATTGGTGATGAATAAAGTTAGAAAGACATTCTGGGGGACAAAGGAGAGAGATAGATAGAGGATGGAAAAAAAAAATATATTTGAAATATATTAATTTATTATTTTTAATGATGCGTTTGATAAATATTAAATTTTAATTTATCAATTATTTTATTATGTAAAATTTAGTTTCAATGTAATATCATTAAAAATTATTTAAAAATAATAAATTAAAAAGATATAGCATTAAACTTGGTCAGAAATTGTATTGGTAATATAATAAATTTAAAGTTATTCTAAGGATGTAGGTATAAGTCTTTGAGAATAGGGATACAGATCATTTCTTGGGAAGATAACCTTTGGGAAGACAAAAAGGTTCTTGGGAAGGTAAAGATCTTCGGTGGAAATTGGTATTATATATGAACCTTGACAGATTCATATATATTGTATAAAAATAATTCGGACGGGTGAGGTTTGTCAATTTTTTATTTATTAAGATTGACACTCGACCGACACCTGTAGAAATTTTAAAAATCTGAACCGCAGTCGACCGAACTAATGGTAGAAACCGTCCATATTGCCTTCGGATTGGGTGGTTTGAGTCGGATTTGTCGGGTGATTCAGATCTATGAACAACCCTACCTACAAGATAGATGATTCGGATCATCGATACGGATTTAGATTGAAGCCTAAAAGAAGAGGATGGAGAGATATGATGGGATGAAATATGATGGGAAGTTTATCCCTATCTAATAATATGGTGTTAAACACAAAATTACAAAGTAGGCTTTTTTTTTTAAATTTAAAATTTTAAAATTTATTTATTTTTTAATGGTACTCAGAGTGAGAGCCCCTCAAAATATTTGTGTTGCAAAATATAAATTTCTAGTTGCAAAATATTTATATTTGGTTGAGTTTTAAAAATTTAAAATTAGTTTGATAAAAAAATAAATACAAAAATAATATTTTTAAAATTTCAAATTATTTGTTTCTCTAAAAGAAAAATTATATAAAAATAGTAAGTGTTTATTAAATTTTAAATTTTTTTTCTACAAAATAAAATTTTAAAAATTGAATCAAATTAATAGTGTATTTTAACAAATCCAAATCAAAATTTCAAAAAAAAAAAAGAAAAAAAGAAAAAAGAGTAATTACTAACACAACCATGAACAAAACAAATTGGACGAGTTTGAGTTGAAGATTTCAATAGCTCTTTGGCTTGGAGCTCTGCAACGCACTGTCCATTAGTGTTTTTATACATGATTTATTTATTTTTTCTGTTAGGTTCTTGCAAAAAAAGATATATAAAAAATAAGAGATGTGATGTAAAAAGGTAAAATCAAAGAAAAATAAAAGGGTATTTTGATCTCATTATAAACGCATTTGTTGAGTTGAGACAAATTTTAAACTTTTTCCTTCTTTTTATACAAATGGGTGTAATTATTCTCATTTAAGGATTCATTTAATACTTTCTTAACATATGTTTTAAGGACATATATTAAAAAGAATAATGTTATATATACTAATTAATGTGCTAATTAGTGTACCAATTGATGATATGACATAATTTAAGTGGTCTTTGATATTTGTAATGTGATTAATGAGTGGGATCAATAATAATGTTATAACTAGTGTTGATATACTAGTTAGTACACTAATTGGTGCATGTAGCACCACTATTTTTAAAAGTACCAACTCATCAGTATTCAATAATTGACGAGACCCCTAAAACGTTAGTTAAAATGCATTTAATATGGTAGTGTTACATATATCAATTAGTATACTAACTAGTGTACCAACACTATTATTAACCCCAATCATTAATCACATTATAAATAGCAAAAACCTTTTAAATTATGTCATGCCATTAATTGGTATACTAGTTAATATATTAATTAGTGCATATAGCGTTTTAGGGGTCTCGTCAATTATTGACTACTGATGAGTTGATACTTTTAAAAATTTAAGAAATAAATATTTTAGTCAAAAAGTGAAAAAGTCACTATAAATTGTCATACCACCCTCTTTATTTTTCTACACATCTTTTCGTAAAAAGTCAAAAATTATTAAAATAACCCGTTCCCAAACGTCTTTCTCTCTCTCTCTTCTTTTTTTTTTTTAAAAAAATTCTTTTTTATATGCATATTCATTAACTTTTACGTTTTTAGGGAAATTACACAAGTAATTCCTATAATTTAGTTCTTGTGTCATTTTGATTTCGTAATTTCAATTAATTTGATTTTGATCATGAATTTATGTGACCCAACTTGAGTCCTAGCTTGTGGCCGGGTGTATTGGCCCGATCCGAGACCTGACCCTTCCAATGCTCAACGTTATTTTCAAGCTATTTTGGTGACAAAAAAAAAAAAAAAAAAACTCAGGCCTAGCCCTCTGGCCCACGCTAGGCCTGATTACCTCTTAGGCTTGGGCATAATTTTTTGGGAAATGGGTCGACCCTAACCAACTTGATTTTTGGTAGGGACCCGTACGAGCCGGACCCAATTTACACCCCTAAATATAACCTATTAATTTAATTAATATAACCCATAATTATATGGATTTTTTTAAAAAAAAATCAGTGTTTATATAACAATATTTTCTTCAACAGTGCTAGGGACCCCCAACACCCCCAGTTTTTTTTCATTGGCCAATTTTTTTTTTTCCCTTTCCTTCCAATCACCCACAGCCACGTGGGGCTGGGGGTCACTGGGGTCATGGGGGCTGGGGGTCTGACACATTTTTGTATAAATATTAGAGAGAATAATGTGGCAGATTGTGGTATTTTCATTTGAAAATGTGATGTCCGTCACTTTGGTCATAATTTATAAGAATGTCAATATTACTATCACATCATTTTTGTAGTAAATTCTATACAAAAAATAGGATAATTTAGAATTTTCCAATTATTCTAAATTTAGAAGTAATAAAATATATTTTAGAGAAAATTGGTGATAAATTTAATCTAAGGAGCGTGTAAGGCATTAGATTCAGTGAATATTTTTTATTGGTAAGAAGTCCATATTTTGTGAAATAATTTCGTGAGAAGTTTTAGAAGATATTTTATTTCCAATTTTACTCCATGATTTTTTTATATGTTTCACTTTTTGATGACTATGTGTTCAATTTTTTGGTCTATCTGTTCAATTTTTTCCCTATCTGTCCAATTTTTCTTTAAATTCTATTTATCTGTTCAATTTTATATCTTTCTGTTAAAAAATTCTAACTATCTGTTCAAATTTTTCCTACATTCTATCTATCTATTAAACTTTTTTCTATCTACTAAAAATTCGGGTCGACTTTTTTGTTTATCTGTTGCAATCATCATCATCAACATCAATTTTTCCTCTAACTATTCAAAAATTGTAGATTTCTCTCTCTATCTGTTTAAAATCTGTGAATTTCTCTCTCTATCTGTTTAAAACCTATCCCATTTTTCACCATGTCTTGAAATCTATCCCTTCAAAATTGAGTAGATCCAATATAAATTCTTTTAAATCTATCTATTCAAAATTGAACAAATTTGTCCAAATGTTTTTTTAATCAGTTGCAATATATTTCATCATCATCATAATCATCATCAATAACAACAACAAACAACTAATTTGAATAACACAGTGATATCCAATCTTTAAAAAATAATCATAATGACACAATGATATCCAATCTTAAAAAAAAAAAAATAATAATAACACAATGATATGACCATATACAAATAATATGTATCCTCATAAGATGATTATCATCATCAGAGATCATGAAGATGAAGAAAATGAAGAAGAGCAGTCTCTTTGAGAGGCACCTAATGCCAAGCCATACCAAATCCTACCTCACTTTCATCTTCTATCACCAAATCATATGTCATCCTCAGAGAGATTGAGTAAAAGACGTACAAACACAATTATGTCTCTTAAAGAAAAAAATTATTTTTTTTCTAACCTTGAGCAATTGCCTGAGTTGAATCATTTTTTCCGGAACTTGGAGCTTCTCTGCCACTGCCTCCGTCCGTCAGAGGATCAATAGAGCCACGCTCTAGTGGAATTACCGCCAGCGTCGAGAGATCCATTTCTTCTTGTGGAAACCATGGTCTGAGAAGAGAAGAGAGATCGAGATTTGAGAAGAGAAAGTAGATCAAGATCATAGAAAGAGAGAGAGAGAGAGAGAGAGAGAGAGACGACGAAGGCCTTCAAGACCATCACCAATATGTCCTATGGGTTGGCAAGTTCGAACCAAGGACAATGGATCTACAAATTTGCAGATTTCGGCGTCAGATCAACGATGGCAAGGATAAAGGTAGTGTTGCGCGGGACGGGAGGAGGAGAGATAGAGAGAGAAATAGTCTAGATCAGTGGATGAAGATGGTGGTGTCGGCTAGGGGTGTTCAAAAATTAGTCCGACCCGCTCAATCCGACCGGCCCGGTCGGCCATGGTTGCAAAAATAATTTTCTCACGAGTTGACGGTCGGCGTCAGATTAATTGTTCAAACATCGAGTGAAACCGACCTGACCGAACAAAAACACATAAAAGTAGAATTTTTTCCTCAGTCGTGCCTCATCCTAAGACATAGTTGGAGTAAACAATTATATATTACTATCTCTTTACCTTGCAAAGAGTACATTTTTTTTTTCCCTGTTCTCACAACCTTTGAAATAGCGATTATTTTTAAAAATTAATAAAATCTTTTCGCATCTTTCTCTCTCTCTCAATCCTGACACTTTGCCTTGGAAATAAGACTTCACCTGCAAACTAAAAGATTCATTTCAAATATCTTTTCCTTTTAATCTTTAATCTTTAAAGTTTCTATCTAAAAAATTTAAACTTCACCGTTTTGAAATCTCTCTCTCTGTCAATCTCTCTCTCAATCTTTAAAGTTCCTGACTTAAAAATCCAAACAATTTCACACTTTCAAACCTTCATCATTTTTATAGTTCCGAAGAGGCCATGGCTATGGCAAAGGGAAACTCTTCATTGCTGCTACTATGCTACCAGACTTCACTATGATCTGTGATGTTATCTCTCACATCTCTCATCTCTCAAGGCTGTGCAAAGATTGCATTTTTGAGTTCTAGATCTGAAAGTAACCATGTTGTTGAAGATTTGCAGAGTTTTTTTTTTTTTTTTTTTCCTTTTCAAAATTCTTCTGGGTTCATCATTTTTTTATTTGTAAGTAAGACTTTTGTTTGAAAGAATCCATTGATGAACAGCAGCTTCATGGTGTGTCCACGTGATTTATTCTTTTTTTTTTTTTCCAGTCATCTCTATCTTCTTCCTTCATTGTAATCCCTCTCCCTTGGCTTCTTTTGTTATTTCCCCATCCGACCGAGACCGACCGGTAAACCGATTGAAAGGAACGGGCGGTTTCGACCATCACAGTGATCGGAATCGGACGCTAAGTTGTCCAACCCGAAGTGTTCGGATCGGGTGACGGATAAGCCGGAAAACCGATCTGTCTCGATCCGTGAACACCCCTAGTGCCGGCAGCGATAAATGTGTAGTGTTAGAAACGGCGACAGAGCTGTGGTAGTGGTGGTGGTGGTGGTGGTGGTGAAGTCTAGAGAGAGATCGATGATGGAGAGCTCCTTCCAGATTTGAGTCACGATGAACATTTCTTAGCAACCAATTTTGAGTGAGAGAGAGGAGGGGAAACAAGTGACAAAGGTGACGAGAGAGGGAGAGGCCGACAGAAGAGAGAGAGAGAGAGAGTTTGATTAGGGTTTGATTTGGTTTGAAACCATAGATATATGTAGGGTAGTTTGGTCATTTTGCATAATCATGTCCTTATGGACATATCATTTTTGCGCGTGGATTGTTAGGCAAAAGTAATTCAAATTTGGATTTTTGAGCAGAGTGTCCTATTTTTTTTTGCTAGGGTTAATTTTTGAAAAGTCCAATTGAAAGGAGTGTAAGATATTCGATTCGAGAAAAAATATTTTTTGGTGATAAGGACATTTGTTGGTCAAAAAAACATTACCACCTATCTGTTGATATTTTTATTTAAACTATTTGTTCAAATCTTTTTTTTTATTTGTTAAATTTTTCGAACCTATATGTTCAAATAGTTTTTCCAGTCTGTTGAAATTCTCCAAGCTTATCTGTTTCCCCTATCTATTGAAATTCAATAAGCTTGTTTTCCCTATATGTTCAATTTTTTATTTTATGTATTCAAATTATCATATGTACACACACACACACACACACATATATATATAGAGAGAGAGATGAGAAAAAGAGAGAGGTCTTATATGTCAAAATCTTTTTTTTATCTGTTCAAAACCCAACTCTCTCTTTCATCTTTCTTTCAAAACAATTCTACTCTCTACTCAGATTGTGAAGGAAGAGAGAGAGAGAGAGAGAGAGAGTGATAGGTTTTGTGAGTGTTGGTGAGGAAGAAAAAGCTCTCTAAACCCACCAACAATAGTGTTGGTTAATGAGGAATAAAATGATGATGGGTTTGGTTTGTAGGATCGTAATCTGAGGAGTCGGTGACGACATAGATTTAGCTGCCTTTGTCACTAAGGGTGCTTGATTTGGTTGCTTTTTTCTACCATAAACCCTCCTCTAAAGCCCCCTTCAAACCTTCACCTCTACCACCACCGTTGCGTGTTTGGCTCCAAATCCTTTTCAATTTCGCCACCACTTCTCTCACATCAGGCCGATCATTCTTATCTGCCGTCACACACCTAAATGCCAGCTCTACTACAGCTCCAACCCTATTTACCACCTCTCCATTACCACTCTTCGCCACCGAAACCTTGTCCACCACCTCATTCTTCACCTCAACTTCTATAACAGAGCAAGCTTTGACACTCTATACCTAGTGTTCCCACCTGTAAAAGCATATTTATAGCTGACCTTAACTCCCTGCCATAGATTTCTAGAGAGAGAAAAAAATAGAAAAATAAGGAGCTTACTGCGAAGGGATTGACTGTTGAAAGACAAACTCAATTTGAGTTTGAAGATGGTGAATTCTAGAGAAGAGAAAAAATTGCTAGAGAATTCCAGGTTGAATAAGAGGAGTTTAGAATGATATAGAAGAGAAGAGGATGCTTCATGGAGGTTGCCACGGTTAAAACTTAGTAATGAAGGAAAGAAGAAAAACATGAAAAATTTGCTGTCTCCAGCTCATGTTCATACTTGAGCAGAAACCTATAAATAGATGTATTGTTAGATTGTTTTACATAGAGTCGAAGAAAAACGTAATCTCTAGGGAGAAACATAACATCTCTAGATAAGGAGAATTCTAAGAGAGTTGAGAGAATTTGTGAGTTTACAGAGAGATGGCTCTATTTTGTATAATTTGTTTATGATTATATAAAAGGAGTGTTTATTCAATTAATTTCTCTCTTTGTATATCTACATAACCGGTATACACCCCTCTCTTACTTTTCCAATAGTGGTATCAGAGCTAGAAGAGCCAGTTTGGGCCAAAATTTTGAAGAAATAGAGACTTTTCAAATTTGCCCATATTTAAAGGTGTCGAAATCAATCTCTGAATATACCAGAGGGTTCGTGTCGACTAGGGGAGTTCAGAATCATTAACGAGAAGAGCCAAGAAGTATCCGAAGTTCGACGATAAATGCTATATCTAGAAACGAAAAATTTCAAAGTTGTTGAAATCTATTTCTAAGTATAGAAGATTGAAGCACTTGTCAAGAGGATTCCAACGTAAAAAATCGCGTTGAAATCAGAGCTAAAACAAAGTCGCAATTGTTGAATCAAAGTTTTTCGGGAAAAAGACATATTGGAGAAAATGAACTAGAGTGGTATCAAAATAAAAGGAATCATCCAGTGTTTCGCGGTTAAGCTACAACTATCAATTTGAACTGTCTAGATTGTTTTGGGTAGATTTAAGCCATTTGAGGTATAATTTTGATGGTGATCCAATAGTGCTTTTCAACTATTTGGACTATTTTGGACACATCTATATGGTCAGATTTTGCAAATTTCATACAAAAAATTTGCAGATTTTATAAAGTGAAGAAAATATTCTTCGATGCGGGAGTCAAAGAATACAACAAAGAAGATGTCACAGACAAGGTGATAGAAGATGTCCCAGATATTGTAGACGAGATAAGCAACAGATGGTTGTTTCTAGTAACAAAAGACAACAATTGATTATTCCGCACAACAGAGAATAACATGTGATTATTTCACAAGCACCAAACAACAAGTGGTTGTTCCAAGAGACATACGTCAATAGGTGGTTGATAGTACCAAACAATAGGAGGTTGTTCCAAGAGATATATAAGTCAATAGAGGCTTGACTACAAAGACCAAACAAGAGGTCATGATGAAATCCAACAAATTGATGAGACATCATGTAGAGAATCCAACAAATTGAGTTTAATGGGAGATGTTAGAAGACAAACTCAATTTGAGTTTGAGGATGGTGAATTCCAGAGAAAAGAAGAAGCTTCTAGAGAATTCTAGGTTGAAGAAGAGAGGTTCAGAATGATGTAGGAGAGAAGATGAAGCTTCATGGACGTTGCCATGGTCAAAGCTTAGCAATGAAGGAAAGAAGAAAAACATGAAGAATTTGTTGTCTCTAGCTCATGTTCATACTAGTAAAAACCAATAAATAGATGTATTGTTAGATTGTTTTACATAGGGTGAGAGAAAAATGTAATCTCCAAGGAGAAACATAACATTTCCAGATAAAGAGAATTTTAAAAGAGTTGAGAGAATTTGTAAGTTTACAGAGAGATAGCTCTGTTTTGTATAATTTGTTTGTGATTGAATAAAAGGATTGTTTATTCAATTAATTCATCTCTTTGTATATATACACAACTGATATACACCCCTCTCCTACTACTCATCATTGACTTCATCTTCATTGAAGAGCTTGCAATTGAAACGACTGGCCATGGATGAAGTTGAGTTGTAGAGACCAAATTCAAAGAGAGAGAGAGAGAGAGAGAGGGGTTTCTTTGGTTAGACGATGAGCTTTGGAATAGATGACTTGTTTGTAAAAATGGGTTTGATTATGGAGAGAGGTAAATTTGAACAGATAGACGCGTGGATTCAAACAAATACAAAAGGTGTGTGGACTGTCTTTATCGACATGGAATTGTCTTTATGGACTTAAACAATAAACATATGGATCTATCATGTTACAAATCTATAAATTAGACCTATGGACTGAGCTCCCTTTTTATTATTGGTTTTATGATTTAAATATATATGTTCATTGTTTAGATTTGATCTATAATATAAAGGGAACTCACATTATAAATTCAATTCTCAAACTTATTTGACAATCACTCTAGATGCTATACTCTGAAGGCTATAAGGACATTCATTTTTTGTTAGACATATTTACCCTTGCAATTATTTTGTGTTAAAATCTTAAAATATGAGTTTTGCAAATTCGTTATTAATAAAATTGATATATATATATATATATATATAGATTTTTTTTTCTCTCAAGATATTTAAAATAAGACCAATATTAAATATGAAATTTTAAAAAATAAATTAAATGATTTTTTGATCAATCAAAACAACAAAGTAACATTTTCTTACAAAAGTAAGTGCTTGAAACCATCTTCAGCAATTTCAGATGGATAGATCTCACAAAAATACATGAAATAAAAAAAAAAAATCATACAAAACAAAATACTAAGCAGAAAGTTTGGATATGTTGAAGTTTTAACACCATGAACGATTTAATTTTTTTTTTTATTTTTAAATTTCAAGTATCTATATATCTAAATTATGGGAACTAAGTTAAAATAATTTGAACATATACGTTCAAAAATTGCACAGATATTACATTGACAAGTAAAATATTGTCAGATTAAAATAATTTGGGTAGATATGTTAAAAAATTTACACAGATAGAAAAAAAATATTGATATACATAGGTTAAATATTGACATACATACGTTCAAAAAATTTGCAAAGATAGGAAATAATATTGGCATTTATTAAAATAATTAGTATAGATATGTTAAAATAATTTTAATAAATAGGCTCAAAAAATTTGTACAAATAAGTAAAAATATTGGCATAGTTGAAATAATTTGTATACATATGTTAAAATAATTTGGACAAATCAATTCAAAAAATTTTTAGGCATAAATATTTTAAAATAATTTGTAATTAAAATTATTTGGACAGATAGGTTAGGTAAAAATATTGGCATTACAATAATCATATATATATATATATATATATTAAAAGTAATATTTTTCCCATACTTGGGTGACACATTATAAGGCCTTACACCATGCCTTTTCCATTTACATATAAAGTTTTATACAAACTCAATTTCAATTATAATAACCAATTTTATATGGACTCTATTTGAGAAATACTTATTTTTCATATTTATGCACATGCTAAAGTCTTAATTTTTTTTTTCTTTCTAAAAAGGCTGCATTACCGTGCCTTTTCCATTTATACATAAAGTTTTACAC